TGCTCTTAAATATAGTCAAAATATAAAAATTATGCAAATTTATGTAAAATGGATAGAAGAAACAAGAATAACAATGTACGGTGTGTACAGCATGAACATTACGACTAAAGTGCAATAAAACCGCACAAATAAAGTCTAAAATTACCGCATAAGTCGTTTTATAGACATTGCTCCAAGAATTATCTAAAAGTTATCTAAAAGAACTAAAAAAATTATCTAAAGTTAATTTTAGACTTTGTGTTACATAGGTACACACACATTTATATGTATATTATTAATGGCTTATTTATGCAACTCTTTTCTTTTCTTTCTTATTATTCTATAGCTTAGTTATTCAGAAAATGATGACAATGATATCAATTCTGTTGGTTTGTTATATGAAGCGATATTAAGATATATTCTCGTAAAAAAGAACTACAAGTGCAGTGATAACACTACTGAAATGTAGTAATAGTCCTGCTGTTATAGAACTAATACTACTACATTTCAGTAGTGTTTTTACTGCACTAGTAGTTCTTTTTTTACGAGGGTATATCCTAATATCGCTTCATATAACAAACATATTTATGCTCTTGACATTGAAACAAAAAGAGGAGGGATATGACACCAGATATACTGACTATGAGGCATTTGATCTTAGGATCTAATCGAAAGACTAGTGCGTAAAAGATCTATTCTAAAGGACCTCTTATTGCGTTTGTTACAACAATGTCGAGTTGTTTCATTTTGTTGTTCAGCCTTGTTTGTTATATTCTAATGGGCCTCGTGATATCGAAACCATTGTCGATTTTATTGATACAGCCTATTCCATCGACTAGCCACCACATTTGGGCAGTGAATTTAATTAAAGGATTGCTTCTTAAGGGCCATCATGTACACGCAGTGAGCATACACGAGATTAAAGTCGAGAATAAACTCGCGCAAAACTTGACATACGCAGTGAGTATATATATCATCTTGATCAAAAAGTTCCCGGAATTCATTCTGAAAATTCAAAATACAAGTTTATTCATTAAAAGTGATATTGTCCCCTTCAAAGTACTTCCCTCGACTGCAACGCACTTATGCCAGCGCTTGATCCAGCTCTCGAAACATTTCTGGAACTCTATTGTTGGTATAGCCATCAGAGCCGTCTTCGATTTTTCCATTATCTCCTTTCGGCTGTTAAAACGCGTTCCCCGTAGTGGTTTTTTGACTCGATCGAACAGAAAAACAACATTCATCAAACGCATCATTACTGGAAACGAGACGTGGGTTTATGAGTACGACACACAATCCAGATATCAGGCGAGTGAATGGAGAGCTCCAAATGAGCCAAAACTAAAAAACGTCGTTTTCAGTCGAAAAAGAAAGCGATGCTCACGGTTTTCATGAATTACAATATATTGTACATCACGAATTTTTGCCAGAAGGTCAGACAGTTAATAAGGAGTATTATTTGGGCGTTATGAGACGTTTGCGTGAAGCAATTTGCCAAAAAAAAAAGGATTTGTGGGCAAACAACTCGTGGATTTTGCACCATGATAACGCACCGTCGCACAGTGCCATCATTATCCGCGAATTTTTGATCAAGAACGAAACGAATACCATCCAACAGCCATCGAATTCACCTGATATGGCCCCCTGCGATTTTTTTCTGTTCGATCGAGTCAAAAAACCACTACGGGGAACGCGTTTTAACAGCCGAAAGGAGGTAATGGAAAAATCGAAGACGGCTCTCTGATGGCTATACCGACAATAGAGTTCCAGAAATGTTTCAAGAGCTGGATCAAGCGCTGGCATAAGTGCGTTGCAGTCGATGGGGAGTACTTTGAAGGGGACAATATCACTTTTGATGAATAAACTTGTATTTTGAATTTTCTGAATGAATTCCGGGAAATTTTTGATCAAGGTGGTATGTAGGATGTATATATAATATATATATATATATATATATATATATATATAGAATGTATTTTAAATAACGCACATTAATTATATAGAGTTATTCCTTGTAAAAGAAACTGAATCGAAAAATCCTTAAATTTTTTTCTACAATGTTTAATGACGCAATCACTACTACAGTAATTATTGCTTCATTGAGCATTGCAGAATAAAATTGTTCTTAAATAGCGCTCAC